CAAAAGATTGTGCGGTCAAAACCCTAGCCAATGGGGTGAGGCACAGCCTTGAGACTCACATCAGGGATTAAAAACCCAAGTGGACTGCCCACTCGGTGTGCTTGCTGGCCTGTTTCTGTAGTATGGCTATGCACACACACCCTCTTACAGGAATAAATTTTGCTTTGCCAAGGCAATTTAGTCTCACCGAGTGTCTTTTATGCAACATCAGGATTCATTTCTAACATCTGCAAACCTCGCTCAATTTACAATAAAACATTTTAAAAAATAAATACTGCCCAAAAGAAAGCATTTGTTTGATTTCTTGGGGAAAAAAATCATTGGATTCCAATACACTACTAAAGAGAGCATAGAAAAAGAAATCAGGAAAGTAATCCCATTTAAAATGTTGTTAGGTGCCATCGAGTCGGTTCTGATTTATAGCATCCTTGTGCATAATGGAACACTGCTAGTCCTTCACGGACTTCACAATTGTTGTTACACTTGAGCCCAATGTAGCTGCCACTGTGCTAATCCATCTCATTGGCGGTCTTCTTTTTCACTGACTTTCCACTTTATCAAGCATGATTTCCTTCTCCAGGCACTGGTCCTTCCTGATAATATATACATAGTATGAGAAACAAAGTCTTGTCATCCTGGCTTCAAAGGAGCATGCTGGCTGTACTTCTTCCAACACAGATTGGTTTGTTTTTCTGGCAGTCCATGGTACTTTCAACATTCTTCTACAACTCTATACATCAAATACATCAATCCTTCTACAGTCTTCCTTACTCATTGTCCAACTTTCACACACATGTGAAGCAATTAAAAATGGCTTGGGTCAGGGACACCCCAGTCCTCAAACTGATTATCTTTTCCTTTGAACACTTTAAAGAGGACTTGCGCAGCTGATTTGCCTTGTACAATATGATGTTTGATTTCATGACTGCTGCTTCCATGGGTGTTGATTGTGGATCCAAGCAAAATAAAGCCTTTGACAACTTCAATCTTTTCTCCATTTATCATGATGTTATTTATTGGTCCAGTTGAGAGGATTTTTGTTTCTTTACATTGAGGTGCAATCCATACTAAAGTCTTTCATCTTTGTCAGTATTTTAAGTCCTCTTCACTTTCACCAAAAAAGGTTGTATTATCTTCATAACGAAAGTTGTTAATGTATCTTCCTCAAATCCTCTTCTTCATATCATCCTGATTCTTGGATTATTTGCTCTGCTTTCAGATTGAATAAGTATGGTGAAATAATTTAGCCATTGCGCACAACTTGCCTGTGTTCAGTATCTCTTTGTTCTGTTTGAATGACTGCCTCTTGGTCTATGAACAGGTTCCTCATGAGCATACTCAAGTGTTCTGGATAAGCCATTTTTTGCAATGTTATCCATAGCTTGCCATACTCTACACAGTCAAAAGTCCTTACATACTCAATAAAGCACAAGAAACATCTCTGATCTTCTCTGCTGTCAGCCAAGATCCATCAGCAATTATAGCCTTTGTTCCACAACCTCTTCTGAATCCAGCTAAAGTTTTGGTAGATGTACTCTTGAAGCCATTTTTTAATTATCTTCAGAGCATGTTTACTTGCGTGTGATATTAATGATGTTGTTAGATGATTTCCACATTCCATTTGGCCACCTCTCTTTGGAATGGACACAAATATGGATCTCTTCCAATCAGTTGGCCAGGTAAACTGTCTTCCAAATTTCTCGTCATAGAGGAGCGAGTGCCTACAGTGCTGCATTACTTTATTGAAAGATGTCAATTTATATTCTGTCAGTTCTTGGAGCCTTGTTTTCGCCAATGCCTTCAGTGCACCTTAGACTTCTTCCTTCAGTACTATCAGTTCTTGATCATATGCTACCTCTTGATATGGTTGAAAAATCAATCATTTCTTTTTGGAACAGTGACTGTGTATACCTTCTATATTCTTTTTTTTTTAAATGTTTTATTGTGAATCATGTGATAGTTTACATGAGAGAACATTAGCTTTACATTCATCCTATCGTACATTTTTTCACTGCCATGGTTACAATCCCCTCCACGCATCATTAACCAACCAAGGGTATACCTTGCAAGACTGCCCCCACCCTCCACCCCCAGTCGTCAGTATACAGGCCCTCTCCCTCTCTGGGTCTAGAGTCCCCAGCCACTCCATCTCTCTGTGTCATTGTCTCTGCCTCCATCTCTGGCATCACTGTTTCTCTGGGTAGGGTCCCGCTCTCCACTCTTCTCCCTTGATGCTCCCAGGAACCTCTGCTCCTGGACTGCAAAGTCAATCACTCCCTTCCTTTTGCAACAAAACATCTACCTTTACATTTGCAACCCTCAGAGTCAGTCCTGATAACAATTATTCACTACTGTGCCACAAGAGACCTATCCCCATCTCCTTTCATCAGTTCTGCCCAGACAGATTAGATACTACTCAGTGGAGAGTCTACCTTCTGGATCTAGACTCCCTCTTGAAAGCTTGTAAGCCAGTCACTTCTTGCCTTTGTAGCACCCTCCCTCTCCCCATTTTGGGTAGCCAATGTCCAAGTTGCCAATCCCTGTCTACTCTGTGTACCTTCCATATTCTTTTGATGCTTTCTACAGCAGTCAATAATTTGCCCATAGAATCCTTCAACATTGCAAGTCAAGGCTTGAAATTTTTTTCCCAGTTCATTCAGCTTGAGAAATGTTGAGCATATTGTTCACTTTTGGTTTTTGAATTCCAGATCTTTGTATATTTCATTATAATACTCAACTTTGTTTTCTTTAGCTGCCCTTTGGAATTTTCTGTTTAGTTTTTTTACTTCCTCATTTCTTTCATTCGCTTTGGCTTCTCTGTGCAGGAGAACAAGTTTAAGAGTCTCTTCAGATACCATTTGGTATTTTCTTTCTTTCCTGTCTTTTTGATAACCCTTTGCTTTCTTTCTGTTATGATGTTCTTGATGTCATCCAACATCTCTTCTGGTCTTCGGTCACTAATTTCTAATGCATTAAATCTGTTCTTCAGATGATCTCTAAATTCAGGTGGGATATGGTCAAGGTCATATTTTGATTCTTGTGGACTTATTTTAATTTTCTTCAGCCTCACTCTGAACTTGCATATGAGCAGTTGATGGTCTGTTTCACAGTTGGCCCCTGGGCTTGCTTTGGCCAATGATATTGAGCTCTTCTACCATCTCTTCCCACACATGTAGTCAATTTGATTCCTGTGTGTCCCATCTGATGCAGTCCACACAAATAATTGCCTTTTACAGTGTTTAAGAAAAGCATTTGCAATTAATAAGTTATTTGCCTTGCAAAATTATATCATGTGATCTCCAGCATTTCTGTCATCAAGGCCTCCTTAATTTCCAACTATGAATCCTTCCTCTTTGTTTCCAACCTTCTCATTCTAATCACCATAACTACCATTGCATCTTGATTGCATCTTTTTAATCAGTTTCAGACTAAAAATTTTGTTAAAAAATTTCAACTTTATCATCTCTGGCTTTAAAGGCTGGTGCATAAATTTAAATAATAGTGGTATTAATGTATCTTTCTTTTAGGCATACAGATATTATCCTATCACAGAGAGTGTTGTACTTCAAGGTAGACCTGGAAATGTTCTTTTTGTTTTTTTTATTTTTGTTGTTCTTTGTTTCTTCTCCAAATGTGTATTGGTTGATTGCTCCTGTGTCATTCAATGCAAACATCTCTCCCAGTAATTTCCAATAGCAGATCCCCCCCAACCCCCAGCTCAAGCATATATAATAATTTACATCTCCAAAGGGCACATTCTGCAAGTCTGCCTTCTGACCACCAGCTCTTAGTCCCTCTCTTCTTAGTCCATGAATCTAGAGTCCTCATGAATCTAGAGGCACTCCTCCTCTCCATGCCCCCATCTCTGCCTCCATCTCTGGTGCTGCTGCTTCTCTAGATATGGTCCCGCATTCTGCTTGTGCATTTCTCTCTTAATGGTCCTTGAGTCCTCTGTTTCTGGACTGTAAGATTAACCATTCCCCTTGTAAGATTAACCATTCCCCTGTTTTTGTTACAAAACTTATACCTTTACAATTGTGACAGTCGCAATTAGTCATGATAACAATTATTCACTATTAAGTCCTACAAATCTTATCCCCATCTCTTTTCACCAGACCCATCTAGACAAGATGACAGCTATTTAGTGGGGACTCTTTCTTTCCCCCATACTCTTAAACTAAACTCCCTCTTGAAACCTTGTAAGCCAGTCACTTCGTGCCTTTATTGCCCCCTCATTTTAGGTAGCCAATGTCTAAATTGCCCGTCCCTATCTATCCTGTGTACAGAGGGGATAGCATTGACACTTCATGTGAAGACTCTTTCCCTCTGTTGGTATTGAGAGTAACTGCCACTCTGAGTATAGATCAGGTTCATCAAATTGAAGCAATTTACCCTTGTTTCATTTATCCAAAAAAAAAAAAATTTTTTTTCTTTCAATCTTCCTCTAGTCGAGTTCTGATTATGAAGTCATTGAGGCTAGATCAAAAGGGTACTGTATGCAAGTTTGGGTGTTCTTATGCATCTCCCCTCACTTCATATTAGCTGGATGCTTCACTCTCAGCTTTAGCCCTCTGTGGCTAAGTCCTTATCCATTAGCTCAAGTGTCTGCACTTTGGACCAACCAGCCCTCTCTCTCTTCTCTCTCTCATATCCAAGTCAATGGAATTCAATGGATTGGAGTCGAACTAAGCCCTTTTCTTCATTGATGCCTTTCCACCTCTTCCACTCACCAGTAGACTAACATGGTCGTCAGCAAGATTACATGCTTGTTTGTGTATTCCCTTTGAAATTCAGCCTTAGAGGGGAGTTTGTTAGAAGGCACTTGATTGCTAGCCTTGATGTCTTCCTGGCGAACAGCTTGTTTATTCTTTTTTTTTCCAGTTTCCAAAGGCTTTACTGATAAATGTGCTTTCGGAAAGGATCTTCAGTATCACATCGATTCCAAACCTCTGGCATGAAGAGCTGTGTCAAAGGCTCAGGTGTTGGTGTTTTGTCCACTCTTATTCATAGATCCAGTCATGGCTACAAGACTTGTAGTCAACCAATTCCTCTGGCTTAAACCAGAGACTGATTTCTTTCTCAGCACTTTTTACTGAATCACTGCCATGAATAATGTTCCTGCCAACCTGAATACAGAAATCTCCATGAATGGTGCCTGGCTTAGAATCCACTGGGTTAGTCTCCCCAAGCATCACTCCACCTGTCTTGACCACATTCAGCCCCTCCCAGACCATGGCCACAACTGGTCCTGAATTCATGTACTTCACCAGGCCCGGGAAGAATGGGCGGTCCTTCAGGTCAATATAATATTGCTTCAGGTGCTCCTCAGAGGCCTTCATGAATTTCATGGCCACAAGACGGAATCCCTTCTGTTCAAAGTGCTTGATGATGTCGCCCACCAGGCCATGCTGCACGCCGTCCGGCTTGATGGCAATGAAGGTGCGCTCCGTGTTGGCCATGGTCCCGGGAGCTGGCAGGGGAGCGGCGGACGCGTGTACTGCTGGCAGAGCAGAGATATGCAGCCAGCTTGTTTATTCTTGTAGTAGCCAGTCACGCTGACATTTTTGTTTTGGGTTTTAGCTGATGCTCTTTCTTAGAAGATGTATCTTCTATCACTGTAGCTGTCCCAGGCTGGTCTGTTTGTCCTTGCTAGTGGGAATGTCCCACCTCATAAGGTTCTGGATGGAACTCAGTATTCCACCTAAGGTCCTATACTATATAAAGGCTTTGCAAGAGGCCTATTTAACTAGGTAAGTTCTAGAACCCCTTTAAGGTATTCCAATCAGTTATTCCTGAAGACGGGCTTACAAGTTTTCTCTAATCGTGTTTCCCAACATTCCTTGCTATCCCACTCAAGTGTCTATTTTACA